GGGGCTTGATTTTTGAAAACAGGAGAATTAGTTCATTAGAGAAAATTACGTCATTTTCTCTTGACACACAGATAATGTGATTTTTGAAATTTTCTTGTGGAATATTTTCTCTAGATATCAAGAGAAATAATTCCACAGGGTTTTGTCGGGGGAATTGGCGTTTTCTCCGAATAGTTTGAATCCAAATGTCATCTCATGCTCATGCGCGAATTGTCACTTCATTCATTCGCTGTTCGAAGGTGCGTAATCATTTGAAATTTGTAATGGATCCAAATAATTTATTATTAATTCTAAATATAATGAATAATTTGCAAGCTGCAGAAATTGTAAACCATCCGCGACAACATTAATTAAACCATTTAAAGTTTCAGCAATATCTGACCACTGTTTTTGGGCCTTTTTGTGAGTGAAAGTAGAAGAAAACTTTCATTTTAAAAAGTTCTTCGTTGTTTCTAAGCATATTAATTTCTTTTTTGCGCTTTCGACGTGAACGAACGCTTCATCATAATTATAATATTTAAATTTTTTGTATTTTCAAATATACTTCTATTCAAATTGAAGTTATATTAAATTACTACGAATATCATGGAGATGTCTAGTCTCCCTGACGAATATAATGTCATTTACAAAACAAACTTCAAAATCAAATCAAGTGACTAAACATCAGGTTCGCCAATAATGGCACTGAAATATTGAAGAAAACTCTGCCCGCTGATTGGTCAGTTGCAAATATATCCGCGACATACGGCATAAATTAAATTCTCTAGAGAATTGGATTCCTTCAGCGTTCAAAAATAAGTATTTAAGTTTTTAAGAGAAATTTGTCAGGTGAATTTTTTCTCTGGAGAATCAGTTCTCCTGTTTTCAAAAATCAAGGCCCAGAATAAGAAAATAAAGATGACATTGTCCATGGGATTTAAGCAAAGGTCAAAAATAAGGAAGAAGAAGAAGAACCGCTTAAGACAACAAACTCGAACGTAACCAAAACTTCAGATTCCTTTCTACTTTCCAGTTCCATTTTCCAATATGGTTTGTGTTTGTTAATTTATATTGCCGTGTTTTATTTAGAAAAGTGATCTGGAAATATTTATTATCCCAAAATATTTGGTAAGTAAAATGTCCAGTACCTACATACTTTCTGCTGTAATACTTGCTTCCGGCATGTTAAAAGTAGTAAATCTTGATGGTTTTGGCGGTTAGCGTTTTATAACTATAAATTATCACGAAAAAACTGTGTATTATGTACATTTAAGGTTATTTTAACCTAATATGTTGGAATTTATTTTGCTATCAAAGTCTCCTATGCAAGAAGAAAAAACTGCACCATTCAACACCTAAACAAAGGAAAAAGATATCGAAATGAAATTTTGTTGCACATGAATGTATGAACAATATATATGAATTTTTGGATATTGAACATGATAAAGTCTCAGCTATCACGGCTCAAACCAATGCCTTAGGTATAAAGTATCTTAGTTATGTTTTCTGGCACTTTTTATTCTTAATTCCTTATATCTCAAAAACGAAGGCTTCGCAAGTAAATGTTTGCACGAGAAAATATTTTGTACCTAACTTGTACATGGAAAATTCTCGCTTATTTTTAACATCTAGTGTCAGATCGTCTGTGTGACTGTGTGTATATTAAGTTTATCGTTTATCCAATCGGCCACATTATTATTCCTCTATATATGAGGTACCAAGTAGAGTCATAGGCAATGAACAGATTAAAATTATTATTGTTTTTAGTATGACTAGTTTTTGTGAAGTTGTAAATTGGAAGATGAATTACATTTAATTAAGTTTTCATTAAATTTAATATGTTTTGTCAGTGCTTGATATTATAAATGGTCTTTTTAATTGCTTCTGTTACAAAATTCAGTATATTTCCTCTAGAAGTGGAATATCTTTGTTAATTCCTTCTTCGTACATACCTATATTTATATTAGGTACTTGTTCAGAAATGTAGTCTTCACGTGCCTCTGTTTGTTCTTCGTCATTACAACTAGTTCCTGGGTTATTGTCGCCTTTATGAATTTGATAATGCCATGTTTTAATATAATGCAGTTATACTTAGCATGTTTCCTAAAAGTATTGAGATTTTTCTTATTAAACAATAATTTTATTAAATAACTGTTTCTGCGAGCAAAAAAATTTTAGAAGGATTTTTTTTTTCATAAACTAAAAAAATCGGAATCTGATATAATACCTTAATTTTTTGTTGAATAGTAAGTGTAAGTACGTTATTTACAGTTACACTAAAATTTTCCACTAAAAATTTAATACACTTTCATGTTACTAAAAAGCTATGCAAGTGATTCGAATAGATTTAATTTTAACTTGTTTTGCAGAAAATTTACTTAAAAGATGTACCTAAATCCATTATTAATTGATGCCAAGGCTTGATTATACTCAGTTATGCTCGAAATCCACATAAATTTGAATTGAATTGAATTTTACATTTCACAAAAGATTTAAGAATATATGATATATAAACTAAAAACTAACAGTGGTCCAAGTACGGAACTATTAAATAAATAGGATGTCATATGTTTAAGTGACAATTCATCAAAAACATAATATTTCAATGTACGACAAACTAATTCATAAGTCAAATGCTTTAGAGAAGTCTAACAAAAGCAGCACCCAATCTCTGCCACAGTCATGGCTACGAATAATACCATCAGTAACTTTGGCCAGTGCTACAAAAGTACCAAATCCCTTTCGAAATCCACATTGACAATCTGGTAAATTATATTGCTATTAATATGTTGTACATTTGAAAATAAAGGATTTCAAAATTTTTTTAAACGGCAGGGAGAATACTTATAATCCTTAAAGAATAAGTAGCCTATAGAAATCTTTCACGAATCAGGAAAATAACCAATTTTAATGTAACAGTTGATAATATGCATAATACGCACTATCGATACAATACCAACGTAAGTAAAAAATTGTGGCTTTACGAGAAAATTGCTGTTAAAGTTTTTGATCGATGAAAATACCACTGTTTATTTGTAAATAATGCAGATATCTTTTTAATATTTGTAAATAATTTTGATTATAGTATATTCATAAACATCGTGCAATTTTTATGCATATTGAAATATTTAAAAGTGTTATACAGAAAAAATTAAACTTGTTTTGAGTTACGTTAGTATACTTCATTTAATTCTTACGCCTTAGAAATAAAATAATATTACAATTTGACTTTGTTTTCAAATTAAATAAAAATTTATGTTAAATACTACTGATTTATTCAAAATTATTAAATACAATATTGAAAAAAACACTATTTTAGTTTTCATATGGCAGATTTTCATAAAATGTGTGATAAGGAGTTTTAATCACTTTGCTGTTGCATAAAAATATCATACCTTCCTTTTTGTTTTTCTGTATTATTAAAATGAGGGCTAATAAATAAAACTAGAGACATCTGTTCAGCTCGGCGTTTATTGAAGAAGTGCCTTTTAGATGGGTTTATGATACATATTTCTACAGTTATTAATGTACCTCTATGAGAAAAGCATGGACCAAGCCCCGTCTTAATAAATACACAGAAAGATAAACTAAATACACTTAGATTGGTCCTATGAGTTTTATTTTTGGTAACTGTATATTTCTCATATACATGTATTTTGGGAATTTCTTTGTAGGTTTTTATTGGGATAATTTTCAATTTGTATGCTTTCTGGTGCTTCTTTGTCCTCGTACATCAATTTGAAAATAATCTACGTTGTCATAATTATACTTGTAAAAGGTAGAAAAAGGATAATTTTTAGTAAAATATAAAACCTTCGTTAATTTTTACACTATAATTTCTGCTTATATCACTGGATAGTGCTGTAAAATAAAAAAAGTCAAAAGTGTCCAATTAAAAAACTCTGTAGGGACTACCTGTTTTCTTTGCCAAGCATGTCACAGGAATCCATTGTGATGGCACTCTTTAAAACTTTTTTTTTTCGCGTTCTCCTTAGGAGTGCATACCATCACCCTCAGTTTGCGTATGGCCTGTTATTAAAAATTCATGGGCAGCAAGAAATTTATTTTTATTCTGCCCTGTGCAATTATTAGAATAAAAAGATACAGTTTTGCCAACACAAAATTGTTGTAAAAATTTTAAACCGCAAGTACCAATTTCATTTGCCCCCCTTTTCGCACAACTTTCGCTCCAAACATTGCAGTATCCTTGTTTTTCTATTGCGTCAAATATACTGAAGTTGTCAGTAAATTTACTTTTATAATAAAACTAGGAATTTTTGCGACAAGGAGTAGGAAGCACGGCTAAATCGTAAATAGCTACCATCTTATTTTCAGTTTCCGTCGCCTCTTGAATACCTGTTACTTTTTCTTTTCTGGACATATTTTTTCCCTAATGTGATTTTTATTTGCTTCCTCCATGGCCTGTTTTTCTTCTTCATTTGAGTTGTAAGTTGTCAGTCTTTCTTGGCGTGTCTTAATGTTATAAAAACAGATATATCTCAGCAAAAAACGAAATCTTTGTATAAATGTAAGGTGAAATCGTCGATTTCAGTACCATCAGTTTTCCAGAGAAAGTCCATGCTTAGGTGGTTTGCTTTCCTAACTCCTGCAAGATATGGTAGACCAATGAGCACTTTTATTTCCACAAAGTTTGCAGGATTTGCATCTCAATCGCTATACAAATTTTCTTTTTCGTACTCAATTTTTTTATTAGTCCATTCAACAATCATATTCCTCATTTCTGAATCTAATAAACATATTTCACTTGTGGAAGTCTTTTCTTTAACATAAGGGGTAGTAGCTCTTGGCAGTACTAGAACCAAATTTTCCTGACGTTTTGTCACATTTTTTGGTGGCATGTGTTTGAGCCATTTTGAACGATGGCCGAAGGATTATAGGGCTTGATGCCCAGTGAGACTTTTGATCTACATATTGAGAACTATCAATCTGCAAAATTTCAAGGAAATTAACCATAAGTCATTTTCCATAAGAAAAGTGTGGGGGTCCTTTGGAGTTTTGTGGATAATTTATCAGCTTTGTGTTCTTGATGTGTCCATAATAAAACACAGTTCCGATAATAAAATGTATCGTTTTATTACAGATTCTTAACAATTTTCAGTTTTTCCTTTGGTAGCTTTGACTGAACTAAATTTCTATTAGTATATTTTAAAGTATAATAAATTTTTAATCTGGTGTATAACGACAAAAAGAAATCATTAGGGAAACTTTGACATGGATGGGAATTGTCTATTGTTTTTAAGTTATTTTTTATATTTACACCAACATTTCTTTCTATGGCATATTTTTCAAATGTGTTAGAAAAAACTTTTTCTAGTTTAAAAGTGTAATGAATAAAATTTTCGGGGAGCATTAAGAGATTTACGAATGTGTCCTTCTCTTTGTTTTCATATGCTTTAAAGAAGTTAAAAAAAACATCGTCCGATAATTACAAATGTTGTTTTGAATATTCTGTGTAGGTGTCTGATTTCTAGCATTCCCACCTTGTTGTCACAAAGTACCAAATAATTTTTCTAAAGCATCTTGATTCAACTTTCTAGTATATTGTATTATATTTATTTTTACGTTATCGTATAAGGCCATTAATGATTTTATAGATAATTTCCAACCGTTCAAAAATTTTACTGATGAAGTTACGTCTTTATTATTTTCATTTTTTACTCTTACACTTGAAAATTTATTAAACATTTCATTTAAAAAATTTATTTGCTTTTCACTCCCTGTAAATGGTTTATTAAATTCTTTGGAATTGTGAATGTTACTACCAACTATTCATATTATGTGTTCAGTGCTGCAGCAAACGTAGTCCTAAATACTTAAGCTGCCAACTTTACTTTCATTTTTTTTTAAATCCATAGGGATACATATGATCATCCGTTAATTTGGGAGCAAGTCTTAAATATAATGTTTTGATCTTTATTATAAAAATGTATGATGTGATTGTTTTTCAGCAGCAGGATCGTCAAATACAAATTTATATTTAAATAAAAAATAAATTATTTCTTGTAGATTCTAACAAATGAGGAACATCAAAAAAATAAAATATTTTCTCTTCATTCACAAGAAAATAAGGTTTTTCTGGGTATACATGTTGCTTTCTAACAAACCGAACAAAGTTTGGTCCCTGATCTGACACAACAGCTGGAACTTTTATATTTATATTTTGCAGTCTACAAATTGCCTCATTTAATGTTTTCGAAATTTCATCGGAACCAATAGTGTCAACAAAAAAATACAACAGTAGTTGTTTGTACTTGCAAAAATCCTCCTTAACATAATTACCAGTACGCTCTTTGCTGGCTGAAACTTTTTTCTGAAAATGTTTCCTGAAAACCTAAGATTCAATCTTTTTTCTATTATAAAAAAGAATTTTTTTATAGACATTTCGTCTATACATAACGTTACGTTCCATATCACTCATATTATTGATTCGTGATTCGGCTACTGAAAACTTAAAGTTATTAAATCCAGGTGGGACGTCCCAATTTTTGGTAATTCTATATAATGTCATTTTTGATGGCATATTCAACATTTGTGCCAAATATTTATATACATTAGGCCCCAAGAAATACTACGTCAATGCAAAATTTTTGTATTCTTGGTTGTACTGATAACACTTAGGCTCTTTCTGATGCAAATTTAAACAAGTTTCAATGAAAGTCGTTCGGCCTTCATTGAAGTTTTCCCTGAAGTAGGCTATTATGTCTTCTTCGTTTTACTGGCGGAGACTGTTCCTTGGATTTTCTTTCTGAAGACAGTTTCTTAATTTTCTATCTTAATTCTTGTTTTCTTGGACTGTTCCAAGATAATCATTGGGGAGTTTGAGTTGAGGCTAATTTCATTTTTATCTACCCACTGTCCCATATGTATGAGTTATGCAGTTCTAATTATTTCTAAAAATGTTGAATAATCGAATATTACTTCAATTATAATAATTTGTTATTGCTGTGAGAAAAGAAAATATAGTTTTCCAAAAATTCATGTTATAGGTACTATATTGTTTTAATACATCTGTATAGTATTAAAATAATAAAACCAAGTAAAAGTTGTATTAGAAGCTGTTAGTAGCGAGATGTAGAAACCAAAAACCTAGTCGCAATTGACCGGTAGAAGTCATTCTTTAAATTTTAAGAATTTGTCAATAAAATAAATTCTCTAAGGGTGTGTTTATGTTGGGACTGTGATAAATGATAAGAGCAACACTCTTATTGGGTCTTAAGAAACAAAATAATGAAATCATCTCTTGCTTTGCTAGTATCGCTGCTATTATCCCCTATCACAGCTCCAACATAAATGGACCATAAAATGAAATATTTACTTAAGTAGAATCGACCATTAAAATTAAACAGGAGAGAAAGTTCCTTTGAACTCCGGTATTGTAAGTTTATTTGCTTCTCCTACATTTTAAAATAATATTAATACCGGAATATGAAAATTTAGAGTTATGTTTTAATACCCTAAAGCCTACCTTCCTTGGTTGTCAATTACCATTTGAGGCATTAATTTGGTTCTTGAACTCATAGTATTGTTTATAACCAAATAAACAAAATATTTTAATGTTTAGAACAAACACTTCTCTAAGCTACAGGCAAATCAACATAAGTAAGTTCAGTAATGGAACTAATGGATAGTCTTGCAATGCAATACTACTACAATTTAAAATATGGCATTCTGTTCACTGCTAACTTCAAAATATGTCTAATACTATATTAATGCAACGCAAAATATGTTATTATTGCATTAACTGTTTTTATGTTTACATGAAGAAGTAAACTAACACAATGTACTATAGTATAGTTGAATGTTATGTACTTATTACATCTATTTTGAGCCTTAACACAAAATCAAGATTTTTTGAGTTACGAAGGTATTGTATTGATAGTGCGATATATTTGTATTTTAATAAAGCAAATGATAAATTATTATCGATACATGAATTCTTTCTGCAAGTAATTAAAAAACAATTAACTTCAGACAATGTTGTAAATTGAAAAGTGGAGCTAATGGCATGGTTTAATATATTATCATAAAAATCAACTTTTGATATACAATTAGAATGGATTTGTAAAAATAAAGAAATGTAATTCTTTGAGTCATTTGGATCTTGTAGATGTGATGGAATACTGGTCACCTTATCAAAAAATACTGTCATTAAGTGCTCTCCAGTTTTGCATGCATTGATTTCATTTGACGATTTAAATAATTTCTTTTCTCTCTTCTACTTAAAGAAAATGTGAAGCTTCTAAGCCGTTTGTGTTCAAACAGATTTTCATTTTTTTTTTGTCTGTTTCAACAATTTCACAATTTTCACTTGTGCTCGGTCAAGTACAGCTCTGTTCTATTCAAACGATGAGACAATAAACATATATCATCTACGAATCCTTAAACTTATAAACACATGTGATTCGGGTAGTCTTCTATAAGGAAAAAGATACAGGGTTGCCCAACTCATAGAGTGGTTACACTTGAGTGTGTATTTTTATGAAGTTTTGTCAGTAATTAATATGCTTAACCATTAAAAATAGCTTGTTTGCCATGACCATATTGACAAAATCAGTAACAGACTTGATAGAACCATTATTTTATTTTTTTTACATATTGTCATATCTAAATATCTTTAAAACAGCGTTAAACATTTGTGAGGGCTTCACATCCCTTTGGATGTTAAACTTACCAAGATGGAATTTTAAGGAACATATAACATCATGCTATAAAGATCCACACTTACCGTTTCCTGTTTGTTCTTACCTTTTCCTGTAATGGTGGCCAACAATCAATACTGGGAATTCTGTCAGCCTAATTCTAAGGAGTGTATGAATATGCTCCAGTTAAAAAAGCCATGTAGATGAAGCAGAGATTTTAAGCAGTTTTAGTGCCAAACGTGCTAGGATGGGATATTTTGTAGCTGGAATTCTCAAAAATACCAGTGACTGCTAAAGCCTATAGAGGGTTGGAATATTGACTTCTTGGCTTTATTTCTTTTGTTAAATTCTTCTTGAATTGCATTTTTTTTCAAGGGTGTTAGTATCGCAGTTTTATGTTTTTTATCTTGGGGTGAAAAAGGAATTGGCTGTGTAAAAGTTGTTTCTAGCCCACTAGGTACTGGCTGTGGTAAGTTTGGTGATGTTTAACAGCTGACCAATTTTCTTGTGAACAAACGAGAAGCACCCACTACTGAACTGCCACTTTGGTAAAAAATTTTAGTGATTTCTAAACGTTCAGGAAGCATGAGTAGCTGCACGATGAAGCTGCAAATTGTACTGGATATTTTCACACCTGGAGCACACAAAAAATATATTAGAAACTGGAAATTACAATTTTTAAAAGTATCACTTTTAATGAACGACACATTTATAATGAAATTGGTATGTATTCGAAAAAATAAAACCTATGTACTTTAATTTCAAGTTACAGTCGGCCCAAACAAAATAATTTTGGCAGTGCTCATTTTGCTTCAGCCGTTTATATGACTCATTTCCCATGATAAAACATTAACCTTGTATTTGATTTCCTTTTCTGGGTCTTCTACTGGGAACGTTTCATATTACTTCAGGTCTTCCTCTACTTTCTCTGGCTCATTTTGAACTTCATTTAATTCTTCGAATTTGATTTCTGAAATTCTTCTGTAATTGTACCAGTTTCTTTTGGATACATCCAGTTATCAGTTTCTTGATCATTCTATTGCTCATTATTTCCAAAATTTATCTTTCCGATACCTCATATTGTTGGTCATATTGTTTTCGCACGCCATGTTTCAATTTTGTATTTTGTTGACGTAATGGCTACAATGGAATTCTTCTTGTAAGGCAGTTTTAGCAAAATGTGGATGCTCTAGGTACATCTGTTGTTATTACATGATTTTAGATACTTAATCATTATTAAGGTAATTTAAAATAGAGAATAAACTTCAAAAAGGACCAAACACTTGCCGATATTCTAAATTTTCTCTATTAAAGCAAAAAATGCAAAGTAGAACTAACAATTTACCAGTCTCATACTTGTTTTGGCCACTGTAAGCGTCAGTGTAGAATATAGATTGATTTATGTTGAATATTTCATAAACAAGAAAGGTAACTTTTGTTCATAGGTAGATTTAAAGCGATAAAAAACTTACATGAACAAACATGATTCATTTTCTTAGAATGCTCGCAAGATGATGGCTTTTTACTATAAATACATTTTGGATAAACCATGCACTAAGTCGAATAAGGAAAGCATTTAGCGTTATTTATTATTAATGTTCTCGTGGGTCTTGATATTTTATTCTTGGGCGTTTGCTTCTTTTTTGATTAAGTTGCACAGATATATTATTATACATTTCCTTTTTTTACATAATTATTATTTTAAATTGGCCATCAACAATGCCAACATTCTTTAAAAATATTCTGAGAATATATGACGATTCAATAACTTATCCATCACTACTTGGACCATTATTTTCATCATCTTTCTCATTTGAAACTTAACACGATAATCAACCCATTTAAGTTCTAAGCTAACTTGGACGTAATTAGACATTTCTCGTTGTAGATAGCTTCATTCTGGAAAATAGATTCCCAGAGAGAAATGATTGAGCTAAATGGTTCTGAAATTGTTCAGGATTCAGTAGATATCCAGCCTGATGATGATGATCGCTCAAAACCAGATAATAGGACCAAGTCGGACAAGACATTTCAGTGTGCAAAATGCACCTACTCTGCCAAATACAAGTCTTCTTTGGTGAGCCACTTGGTGAGCCACAGAGCCCCTTCGGAAACGACAATGTACAAGTGCGAAGTTTGCCAGCACGAGACCAAAAGAAAAGCCGATCTCAGGGCCCACATGATAATCCACATGGATCCGGCAGACGTGAAGATCTTCTACTGTGCCAACTGCTCCTACTGGACGAGAAGGAAGTGCGATCTCAAACAGCACGTCATTGTTCACCAGGACTCTTCATACAAGTGCCCTCTCTGTCCCTTCACGACGAACAACAAGCTATATCTCGACAAAACGCATTCGTTACATCACAAAGATGACTCTGAGGTTACAGTATATAAATGCGAACATTGCCTGTACGAAACGAAATTCAAGCATTTGTTCAAGAGGCACGTGATCACCCACCAGGACCAGTCCACACGACAGGAGTACCAGTGCAACTGGTGCGATTTTACCACTAAGAGCAAGGTGGGTTTAAAGAGTCATATGGTGTTGGTGCACACGTGCCCGTCGGAGATTGAGATGTATCGGTGCGATATGTGCGAATTCCAATCGAAAACGAAACCCGGGGTTAGGAATCATATAAGGCTCAAGCACATGCCTGCGGAGATGAAGTATATGTGCGCCCACTGCCCCTTCAAGACTAAGGGGAGACAGTGCATAAGGAAACATTTGCTGCTGCATCGAGATCCTACAAGGGTTACAATGTACCGTTGCGAAGAATGCGATTATAAATCAATTCGCAAGGGGGACCTTAAGTCGCATATGTCAACACATAAGAAGACACAGGTTAATCAACTGGAAGTGATCTGTGTAAGTGATTGAAGTCCGTGGGTCAGTGTAACATCGGAGAAACAGAAGTTGTATTTTTTTACACAGGGAGAAATTATCAATTTCATTATGGATTATAATAGGACTTTGGCAGCAGCAAACTTAATCAGTAGGGAAACTCACTGTCAAAACTTTATATGTCGGTATATCCATTTTTGGTGGCCTTGAAATGATTGCCATGATAACTGTCCCTCATAGATGGCACAATACGGAAATTATTATGCAGTCATAATTAGTTTATTGTACTCAAACTCTGTGGTATGGGCCTACTTTGAGGATACAAAAAATTTAAATTTTGGGACATGTGCTGCCGTCCGTATTTGAAAATGTTTAGAAATGGCGGAATGTCGATTTATAGTTTCTATTTATTTGTAGCTTCAACGAACCTTTGCGTTATCAATAGGAGTTGCTCATATTAAACAATAGGGGCACTAAAACGCTTATATATACTTTAAAAACATTTATTTTATTGTTTTATTGATGTAAAACCCCATACGAGTAATTTTTTTACTTGTATTTGGCTAATTTCCTACGCAAAGACCTCGTATTCAGCAAATACGGGTATTTGATCTGGGACATTGTCGAATTTACTTCGGTTAATCATCGTATTTGGCAGATACCTGAATTTAACGTAGGAAATCTAGCTATTAATTAAATGCAATAGTGAAACATGATTTTTCAAACTAGGTACTTTAAAAAAGACTTAATTTGAAATACTTATAACTAATATTAACTGAAACACTTAAATTATTACGGTTATTAAGTAGGTACCCTAAAAACACACTTTTATTAGACAATAACCTTTTCTGGAAGGTCCTCCCAAAATTTTTTTTGGTTATCTGGCATGATGGAATCTAAAGCTTTGAACAAATTGGCGAGTTTTTCTCGTTCAAACCCATTGGGTGCCGTTTTTATGGAAGGTGTCGGCATTTCCCCAATATGTTTTTTAAGCAAAAAATCCAGTTTTTTCCATTCTTCATCGGATTTGCATTTGTAGTGAATTTCAAATTAATTTCTCTTTACCATTAATTTGGTTATTTTGGCAATATAGAACTTGATTTTGGTTTTTAATTTTACTAACCGAACTGAGATTTTTCGATAATTGAAAATCCATTCCATTTTTATTAATAAAGTTCTTAACTTCTTAACGTTCAAAACAATAATAAAATAAACCAAATAAAATATTCAAATGTATGGGTGGCTAACAAGTGTACACTGTAAACTGTAACACTTGCATATAGGTAGTGGATTTTGAGATAAGCTATGAGTCATACCAACGCAGTACACAAGTTTACGGAACTATCAAGCGAGGCGGACTTTTTCAGTTTTCACTCTACGAATCCAGTGCATTGTTGCCTGTTGCGCAATAAGTTCAGCGGCGCAATAAATTCGTTTTCCGCGCGCTGTTGGCGCTGTTACCGTTTTTAGGCAAACATTTTTTCCCAAATTGCAGGATATTTTATGAATTCAACAAAAAACTGGACATTTGCTTGTCCGGTTTACCAAATTTTTTTCAACCGGACAGGCATCAAAAAAACCGAACTGTCCGGTCGAAAACCGGACATCTGGCAACCCTAAGCATGACGGGGCTCCACCCCACAAGGCTAGAATTGTGCAGCAATACTTAGATAACACTTTCCCAGAAAAATGGATTGGGCTTAATGGACCTATTCAGTGGCCCGGCCCGGAAAGTCACCAGATCTAACACCCCTCGATTTTTTGTATGGGGGGTTTTAAAAAATAATGTTTACAAAACGCCTTTCCGAGATATTAATCATTTGAAAGAAAAATTTACAAATGCTTTTAATGAGTTAAACGGCGAATAAACGCAGCCCATAAAGAAGTCAAGCGAAGATTGGATATGTGTCTTGAAATGAAAGGTCATATAGAGAATAGATTGAAATATGAAAGCATTTGTCTCATTTTTTAATTTTATTTATTGTTATTATCACCTTTTGTTTTAACTGTATTAAAGAATTATCGAGTTTAATCCTTTTATTTATTTTTAATGACATTTATGCATTTTAAACAAGGAACATTCAATTATTTTCCAACGACTACTTGATCCTTCTACCGCTAATGTGATTTTTAGGTGGTATTTACTTTGAGACTCTTTAGAACGATATTGCTTATAACTTTTAAACGGGAAGTAATACAGAAAAAATTCTCTAAATAAAAGTTTATTAGAAAAAAGAGAGCTTTTTAACAGGAAAAAAATATGGGTATGTTTCTAGAAAAAATATAATTGATGACGTCATTTTCTGTCAAATCCCAAAGATAATACTTTCGATTGAAAATGGAGCTTACTTCATCCCATTTAACGCCACGTGTTCCAAATTTTATTTACATTTTTTGTATCCTCACAGTAGGCCCATACTATTGAGTTTGGGACACCCTGTACAATATTAAAAATCTGTTAATAGACTGCTGTAATTGCAAAGTCAGGGAGTTAAAATATGTTTAATAGTTTTTAATTTAACTGTAAAACATTTTAGAATCCGTTTGATTACTGATTAATGATTTACATTACATGATTTTGCTAATTTTAATATAGTCATTTTTATCAGTTATGGGAATTTCTCCACTTTCCATGAATGTACTTCATTTTACATACCATTGTTTTTTCTGTAGAAAAAGATGTTATAAATTAAATTACATCTCTCTACACTACATTACTAGTGTTTAAAGTAATTAACCGTAGATCACTAACCTTATTTTTCAACGTTTATTATGACCCTTCGTCGTTTGGACTAGTGTTTTATAAGAGGATTCACTGGATTCATTGAATTATATATTTTTGTGTTATTTTCAAATACAATCATTTAATAACATGTTTATACTGTTCATATTAACTAACACAAAATATTTATTACTCAAACAGATTTTTGAACGAGATCATAGATTTCATGCAGTCAACATTAAAAAAAATTATGGAAGCGAAATTTACTGCACTTTTTAGAATCCTCGTCGTCGATTCATGGTATAAAAATTATAATTTTGCTTTTAACAAAATGAACAAGTACAAATAACTGAAGGATCTAGTTACTTTGTAACTTAGTTAATAATTATTGCAAATTATATGAATGCTAAATGTATTCATGAGATGAGGTAGATTAATATAAAAATTGCAATAATCTTTATTTAACCCTTCCGCTGCGCAATTACTTCCCAGGTCCATGACCGTAGGCGGCACTTTCTGGCTTGCTGCGTAGATATACGTCCAGAGCAGCTTACGGTAATATTTACAAAACAAAAATATTATTTGTTACATAATTATTAATTTTCTTTGCATTTGACAATGTTACCTATTTCTTATAAATGTCCATAATCAAAAATGATTGTTTAAACATTATGGAATCGCGCGAAGCATTCCAAGCATAAGGCAACATTGCACTCTACGCAAATTATATCCGATCTCTTCTGATGGTCCACTGTACTGCAGTGACAACACCTACGCTTTGTGCCTTTAACAGGCAGGTGTTTATCAACATTTATGAGGCGTTTACTTAATGTTCTTCTATCAGGATTATTTCGTTTCCAATTTACGCTGTAAGCGGATCAAAGTGATTCACCCCTCATATATAGGTATTTGTTGCAGTCGGCTACTGAAACGGGACAATTCATCAATTTTCTTGATACGTCCTTTTGGGTCCTGAGAATATTAGTGGTTTCCTGAGGATTATGCATGGTGGAGACAATACAAACATATTTTTTACCTCTATCCTTCCACTTGCTCATAGCAACATCTCCAGATGCTACACCATATTCACCGATTTTCATTTTTTTTATCTTCCTTCAAATACTCTAGCCCTTTCGGTCCTGAATTATTTCGTGCCAAAGAAAAAATTTAAAATTCCGTTGAATTCTTATTTGATCCAATCAAAGGTTCAGGGACATATGCGCGAAAATGCAAAAGATCCATAATATATTTTTTTTAAGTTCCAGAGCAAAAGCTTTTGTTTTATACTAAGCCATCCATTCGTACAAGCTAGGTCTATGGCTCGAGTGAACACCCGGACAGTCCATTTACGAGAACGAATAGATGTTCGATATATAGTAATCAAGAAGTCCATTTTGTCGACACCGCCCATGATGACATTGACGAATAACTTCTGGTCGAGGACCATTTATGTACTCTTTTGATTGTTTATCCCACCTTTTAGGTCTGTGGTACCGATACTCATGTAATTAGAAGCCATAATCACTGGCTTATTGTCGAACTGTTTCAAAAGACCTCCAAAAGGAGGGATTTTGAAACATTCCATTCGCACAGTGCCAGCGGCATAAATGTGTTTGTGTCTCAAATACTAAAGAAGATTATAATTTGAGAAAAAGTTACCAAAACATAACTGCACATTTTTTTCCTTAATACGTTCCGAAAGTTTCAGTACAACGGAAGCTCCCAAACCAAAAACTTTCTGCTGATCAGGATTTAGTTCTGTCGTTAATCCTTGATATATTATAATGCTGCTTGTGCCATATAAAGCAAATATTTTATTCCCCACGGACTAAGCTTCCCTTAGACATATTGCTTTATATTTATTTGACCTTTGAAGGGTACCATTTGCTAGTCGACGCACATGTTTTCTCAAGGCAGTTTCAATATACAGCTTCGAAGGATATCATACAGTGGAAGTATTTTCCACAATCTATCTGTATTGTCAGGTGGTTTCTCCAGTATATTCACAAAATATAGATGTTTTCACAGTTTGAAAAATCTATCTTGAGGCGTAGCATCGGCAACCATAGGAAAGCATATTTTTTTTCCCAATAACAGCAAACTTGAGGATAATTTAGGTTTCCCATAAGAATATGTAATGCTACAAAAGTTTCTAACTCAACTTGATGCGTAGGTACGAATTTGGCATGCTGCTGTGCGGCATAAAGACTGGTATTTTCGACCATAAGGGTAAAGAGATCCATATTTTCTAAATCCATTTTGCAAAATTTAATGACTTATTCTCTCTTCAAGTCTTTTTTTGTTGTAATGGACAAAAATATATATATTTTTTTAATTGGGTTGTAATAATTTCTATTCTCCACTGTTGGACATCTGGTTCTTTCCACCTAGCTTTTAGCGTTTGGAATACTGCAACATCCATTGGTTGTATTTTATGAGTAGAATTGGAAAATAATGCAACAATAATGATTTTGTGGTGCTCAAACTGACTTACATGTGAGATGAGAAGGGTTCTTACCCACCCGAAGTTTATACCCCCAATGTAAGGGCTTTCCACGTATAAATTGTTTAGTGGGGTGACCTTCATAATATGGAATCATGGCTTCATCTACGCAGTAATTTTCTTCAACAGGAGAAAATAATGTAAATCGTTCATTCAGTGCATTGAACAGAGGCCTTACTTTAGCAAACTTATCGTTTACGTTCAAAGAATTATTATCGTAATAATGTATGTGAACCGATCACGAGAAATTGCAGATTGAATCAAATTATTATGACAGTCCTCAGCTGTCTCCTAATACATATATCGTTTTGGCACCCTAACATAACCACTAACTATCAACACGCCAATAAACCACTGAATTTCTTCTAAAATTATATCCGCAGAACGATTATTATTATAGACAATAGTTGTTGATGTGGTGATGTAAAAGCTTCAAAACATCTTGATCCAAGAAAAGTTTGAATAACTCCAAAGGAGTGTTACAATATTTAGGTCCTCGAATCTAGAAAAATCATTGAGTCCAGGATTTTCCTCGCATATGAAAGATTTGGTTGCAGTTGCATTTTGTGTTGTATTCAAGGGTTGATTTGAGACATGTATTGATTTCCCACATAATATTGAAAGTGGTTTGTCATCCTCAGTATCCATACCTGATTCAGCATTTTCATCTGCATTGGAGCACATAATTTCTGCAGGTGCCAGAAGTTGACTTCCCGGAAATTTGGCGAGATCCATAAAGTCCTCATCACCTGAATTTTCATCCGTATGATCTTCATTAGCATTTTCAGGTGGAAAAATAACGATGTCTATAGGGCTGTGATCATCCTCCTCGATATTCAAAGAGAGCTTCAATCAACAGCTCATTTAAGGTCAACGGTTTCTTTCAGTAGTTCCGGTCGCTAGAAGAAACAAATAATATTAAAATATTCACTACCTTTTGGATACCCGTGTTGATCTTCTTTTTAAAAAGACAGTAATATAAATAGTATCACAGATAACATATAAACATTTCTAAGGTCATGGTGATACATCATAACCTTAAAATAAGTATCACTAATGACAATAAACACATTTGTCAAACAGAAATTTTAATGTAATATGCGGTTACTTACCTTCACTTATCTATAGTACAGCCGCTAATTAGACACTAAAAAAAATATCGATTAACATAAAAAAAATACCAGCGGTTTTGAAAATTGATGCTTTTAAAGTGTTTTTACAACTATCATAAATCTGAATAGTATTGATCAGTTACATCTAGTGAACAGAAGCTGCACCGGAAATTCTGTAGCTCTGTTTACTGGCCTTTTAAAGGGACTGTAGTAATATCTGGGTTAAGTAATATTTACACTAAATAGAAGCGAACTAAACACCTTAGATCGTTCTGTCAAAAATGCTGTAATTATGGTTTGCTTCTAAGTATTTCAAATACATTTACTAACTTGATTAACAAATTTAAAAATCAGTATCCGCTTATGGTCCAAACTAACAAAGTAACAATGGTTCTGGAACACGAATATCAACCGGCTTAAACTCTAAGCTAACTTGGACGTAATTAGACATTTCTGGTTGTAGATAACTTCATTCTGAAAAATAGATTCCTAGAGAAAAATTATGGAGCCAAATGATGCAAAAATTGTTCAGGAACCCGTAGATATGCAGCCTGGACCGAAGGGCAATCAATCAAAACGAGATAATAAATCCAAGTCGGGCAAAACATTCCAGTGTGCAAAATGCACCTACTCGGCCAAATACAAATCTGCTTTGGTGAGCCACATGATGAGCCATAGAGCCCCTTCCGAGACGACAATGTACAAGTGTGAAGTTTGCCAGCACGAGACGAAAAGAAAAGCCGACCTCAGGGCCCACATGATAATCCACATGGACCCGACAGATGTGAAGCTCTTCTACTGCGCGAACTGCTCGTACTGGACGAGAAGGAAGTGCGATCTCAAACATCACGTCGTGGTTCACCAGACTTCTTCGTACAAGTGCCCGCACTGTCCTTTCAGGACGCACCAGAAACATTATCTCGACAAAGTACATTCCTTATATCACAAAGACGAGTCCGAGGTTACAGTATATAAATGCAAACATTGCCTGTACGAAACGAGATTCAAGCAATTTTTGAATAGGCACGTGATTACTCACCAGGACCAGTCCACGCGACAGAAGTACAAGTGCAACTGGTGTGATTTAACCACTACGGGCAAGATGGCTTTAAAGAGTCATATGCTGTTGGTGCACACGTGCCCGTCGGAGATTGAGATGTATCGATGCGATATGTGCGAATTCCAATCGAAAACGAAAGCGGGGGTTAAGAATCATATAAGGTTCAAGCACATGCCTGCGGAGGTGAAGTATATGTGCGCCCACTGTCCATTTAAGGCTAAGCACAGGAATTATATACAGAAACATTTGAAACTGCATCAGGATCCTTCGAGAGTTAAAATGTATCATTGTGAGAAATGCGACTATAAATCGATCCACAAGAGAAACCTTCAATCACATATGTTTACTCACAGGAAGAGAAAAAAGATAAACAACAGAAAATAATCTGTACAGCCCACTGGATGAAGTTGGTGGGTCAGTCTTGGAGAAATAAATTTTGTTTTTTTTTTTGACACTATAACGACAAAGTTCCAGCGATAATATTGTTTATTTCATTTTATTATGGGTAGTAGGACTTTAGCACCAGTAAACTTAATAGTTAGTAGGGGAACTCACTGTCAACTATTAGATGTTGATTGTTGATTTTTGGTTTTGGTGGCCTTGAAATGACTACCATGTTTTCTAAGGAGGTTACTAGTGTTACTCAAAGATGGCGCAATATGAAAATTGTTTCGTAGTCGTAATTAGTTACACAATTGGTTGATAGACTAATGTGATTGCGAAATTAATTTATTGTAAGACAAAATAAGAAAGATAAAATACATTTAATAGTTTTTAATTTAATTGCAAAATTTTTTAAATTCCATTTGAATTCCTGGAGTAATTTAACTAGTTTGAATTGTATATGAACAAGCACAAAATTACTTCATAACAGTTAACAATTATTGCGAACAATATGAATGTTAAATGAGCAGTTTATATAATTATCAAAATTCAATCCTTGTGTCTTATTAAGCGTCGATTATACTAAATTTTTTTTATAAATCTGTATTGTAAATGTAATTTCATGATTCTAGTTCCAGTTTATCCATGATGTCAACTTTATTTAAACTTAACTGTTAATTAGTTTAAGTTAGGAATTTGCCTAATAAGCTTTATTTTTCTGAGCAATGGGAGCAATTTAATTTTATTGTGTTTTTAATCTTTAACTTTGCTTTCAGCATCAAAAATGTGGATCACAATGTAGATGGTTTGTAAATTTTCAGTTTATCGAAAAAATATGCCAATAAAACATAACACACTGCAACATGTATAAAGTTACTACTTTTCGTAAGGTAATAGCAAAAATATTTTAGTAAGTAATTTATTTATAATACCTGGAGAATATGGTGATTATGAAAATGCACACACAAATTTGAGTTTCCCTACTGATTTTTATATTTACTGTAGCTGTGAAAAGAGATATAATGCTAAATACTGTAAAGTGAACGTATGAACTTGTAAAAATGGTAAGTTTTGAATAGTACATAAATAAGATCAATCATTCTTATATTTAGTTTTGCGTGAATTTCTCTAAGTTCACATTGATAAAAAACAGTTAATCTCTTTTTCAGCAAATTTCACAGAATAAAAGAAAAACCAGTTTATTAAATCAAAATTCACTTACTACGTACATTATAATAATGGATAGGTATAGTCATATGTCTTAATTTTAAATCATAAAATAAACGAAGACAATGACTTATAATTAAATATAAAATATTTATGCTTTTTTAGTATTTCTGTGCAGTATAGACTGGAAGTAAATTTCGTAAGATTTTGCTTAAAAAATATAATATTGTATTGTTTTATATATTTTTATAGTTTATAGATGTTCTGTACTTCATTGCTTTAATATTCATGATTAAACTTTTATTATTATACATTGCAATTATGGTTACAGGTATGTATCTTATAGTCATATAATTATAATTATTATATAAAAAATAAAAATAAATAACTTTAACAATACTTAAGAAACGAACTTATTTTAATATAAAATAATAGTTAAATAAACAGAAGTTACTAGTACAATTTTTTTTGCACCTTGCTCAGTCCCTACAGCCTTTGCCGAAATTAGAAGGTACATTCTAGATAATCAAGATCGGGAAGAAAATTACGTGCAGATATTAAAATTTTAATTTTGTTTAAAACAAATACTTTCTCTAATATCTAGCATTCGTAAAATATTTCTTTTGAGTATAAGTATGGATGGCTTGCCAATATACAAAAGTTGTAAAATAGGCCGGTCTCTAGATTTTATTTACTTTGTGGTCTGCTGTGTTTTATTACTTAATACTTATTACTTATGTGGTGTATACGTTGTCCACCAAAATAATTATCACGTTAGGTAGAACTCTAATTCTTTATTAAATAACTGATTGACACAAAAATTTAAATAATAAAGGTACTGGGTTACAGCCACTTGATGTGCCGGTCAACTAGAGAATGTGTCCAGATTGCCTGCCTAAGGGTACGGTCAACTACCTAGAAGGGCGTCATTCTTTAAGATTATGACACGACAAGTACTTCTGAGACAGGCAAATCTGCTTCAATACTATTTCTTATTCGTAAATATTTTCTATGTACACAGAGGCGTACCAGGGAACGTACCCCCCTGCTAGTGCTAACGTTACTTAGTAGAAACGAAAAGAAACAAGAGAAACTATATACATATTAGTTGAAACCGCCTTGCAGTCTATCTGGGAATCGGACATGTCTGCCTGCTCTTGTGGTCCTGAGGTTCCTGATGACATTATCTTTCTGGATATTGTGAGGACCACCCGGGTTGATTGTTTCCTCGGATGCGATGTAGGCTGGTTTCAGTCTATCAATTGAGACGGTAGTATCACGTCCGTTGATGTGGACGACAAACGTTTTCTCGTTCCTCTTTAGAACTTTATATGGTCCGTCGTATGGCTGTTGCAGGATACGCTTCGAGCTGTCTCGGCGTACAAAAACCTGATCCGTGGTGGCGAGGTTTTTGAAAACAAAAATTTTTTGATTATTGTGCCTTGACCCGTCACTGGGTCGTAAGTCTCTCATCAGTTGACGGAGCGACTTCACAAACTCTGCAGCGTCTTCAGCGGCTTGGTCTGGATGTTGTGGGGCTAGGAACTCTCCATGCAGGCATAGGTGCCGAAAAAAGACGAGTGGAGACCCTGTGGCGTGATAATTATTTTGGTGGACAACGTATACACCACACTTATTTATAAAGCTTTATATTAATAAATCTTTTGAAGCATTTTCAATGTATTTCCTACTATGGGTTCGATTCAACGGACAGAAAAAAATACATCCCAAAACGTCGATCACACTCCATGTAAGATTGGTGTAAAATTTGTGTGATCATTTTGTTCTAAAGTAGTGAATAGTATGCATGAATAATTTAGCAATATTCTTAATTTTGTATCGATTACCACATGTGTAGTTTTAGTTATAATTGTAGTATTGGGTAGCAAACATTTCATAAACTATATACAACTTAATTACTTGAGCTCATCGCAATACGACAGTTTCGTGCCATATACACATTTTTAATACACTATTTGTTAAGTGTAAAATATAACATGTATTTTGCTTATACACCACGTGATAAGGTTTCTGTAATCTGTCGTAAACCGTAAATTTAAAATTAAATTTTGTTTCGTTCATCACAAAGAACTATAAAAACTACATCTTTCGTATGTTCGTGTCAGCAGATAAGTAACGTGTTTTTGGATTCTGTGTGAAAGTGGTTGCTGTGATAATGAGGCAAGCCTTTAAAGTGATTTAAATCCTGAAATTTTATTTTTCGTTGTATACTTTCACCTTTGATTAAGGTCCCCAAACTTATCATTACTATTTTTTTTTAAATCAACCATCAGTACTGTCTAAAAATATTTGCCTTTTTCAATGATTCAGTAACANAAAACAAATACTTTCTCTAATATCTAGCATTCGTAAAATATTTCTTTTGAGTATAAGTATGGATGGCTTGCCAATATACAAAAGTTGTAAAATAGAGTTTTGGCCAACCCAATTATAGACCATATACTATTTATTTTGCCAAATGTCTCAATTGGGTCGGCTTTTGCTACAACGTACGACTGCTGTGGCATACAAGCCTCGCATATCACAGCGAGTTTTAATATTACTATTATAATTAGAAAAAACACCACAATTCCGTTTATTATATTTCAAATTATAAATAAGAGGTTTGAATGTGTGTTAAAGCAATCTAAACAAAAATAAGGCTCACGTTTGTTACATTTCATTATTGCCTTTAGATTTGGAAAAGACCTTTTTCGTTTTCTTGTCCAAATAATTTTTTTAGATCTCAACGTAGGTTAGTTCTTGGTGTATCAATATAATGAGTCTTGTTGTCCAGTAAAACATTGGTAAGATCAAGACTAGTATAATAGTTATCGTCTTGAATTTAGTAAATATCTTGGTAGGTTGACTACAATGTTTGTTGGAACAGAAGGTACCACCTATCCATTATTTTCCCTTGCAGTTAGGGTTTATGTACCGCTCTCTATTTTCAGTAGAAGGTCAGTGACCCATATTGTCCGATCTTATGTTATTGGTTGGGCGAGGATACAAACATTTTCTTTTTTGTACCGGAGTAGGTGAATGCGTGGGGGTAGATGTACTGGGACGTCCCCGTTTTTGTCCATAGTTTTTCCCGCCCAACATAAATCTCGAGCTAATACAGTTTTGAATTGTAACGGACATTTTTTCAGTTTTATTTAGTTGCTTGTTGATTCTTCGTATTAACAACCATGCATTAATGATGACAAGGTCTATTATATGGCAAAAAATTCGCATGTACCATTTTCTGCTTTTGATTTTTAGAGGGTACAATTCAAGAAGAGAATTCTGTAGGTCTACCCCTCCCATGTGCATATCATAAATGGTGACAATGTCTGGACAATCAATTGCTCTCCTGGTATTTTCTGATTTGAAGAATCTGCTAACCTTTGTAAGTGGCTCTGTTCAAGCAAATGTGGATATCAGAGAAACTATTCTGTTATCAAACTACTGTACACAATGCAATGTGTAGATACACCATTTGCTTTTCAATTACGGTTTTCAGTTCCTTCAGGCAGTTTGACCTGACAGTTGCAACAGTTCTTATGCCCATTTTGTCTAAATAGCTCAGTACGGAAAGCGAAGAGGAGTAGTTATCATAATATAATAATATAATTTTATGATTGATGTGTCTAGTGACTGGTCTACAAAACAGAACAAAGATATTACTGGCTGCTCCTAGATTGGGTTTGCTGGGCATCGGAGATGTATCATTGTTACTACTGCAAAACTAAAAAATTTGAAGTAAAACCACTAACCCCAGATAACACATACAATTTATACCCCCACTTATGGGGTTTCTTTGGATTTTTCGTCTTTAGAGCAGTTCTCACTTTAAACGGAATAATTTGCTCGTCACAGGATAGGTGTTCTTCAAAAGGTAGTTTTAGACAAGCCATCTTTATTTGATCGAGAAGTGAAGAAAAGTGCGGAAATCGTTTGACCTCTTCAAACTTATGTAGAGACATTATGTTTGCAATATGATCCTAGTCTCAGGTCTCCAATACCTGCAGATTGAATGTTGCCTTATATTGGCCATCCATACAAAAATACCTAAAAATTGCTCTAATTCCTTCGAATCAACATGAATAGGTTTTTCTGATCTTACTTGCGCACTCTACAAACAAGTCTGTTCTACAACTTTTCCAATAGACGGCTATCGCAAAGACTTAATCAGTATTTTCTGTGTTCTGACTCAGTCCATTTGTTCAGAAGTTCCCTGACCACACTGGTAAATGTGCCACAGAAGAGCTTCAGACCAATGATCTCCGTTTCGGATCCCTTCCTAGCAAATTCATCGGCTTTCTCATTCCGTCAACGCTTTTGTGTTCTGGCACCCAACCCAACCTAATAGTATTAGTATTAGTGGTAGCCAGTTCAGTCATCATAAATTTTGAACTTATATCTTGTGTGTGCCTAAAGCGTTAATTGCTACTTAACTGTCAGAGAATATATGAGTCGTCTATTTCCAAAAGCGGCTAAATCCATTGTCATTTTTTACCTCATTGAAAAATGTAGAGGAGATTTTTGTAAAAATTGTTTGGTTTAATCGGTTTTGAAAGTAAGTTGTAGATTTAGTTAGTTTTGGAAACGATTCTATACTATATAAAATAAACACTTTATTCTGTGGACTTGCTTTAATAAATAATAAGTAATATTTAATTGAAATAAGTAACAAATGGACTTTATAAGAAACATGAGTATCATTAACATTTTCGTCATTACAAAAACTGTCCCAATTCATTTTCTTCATCTTCTACTGGCTCTGTCATTTTCTTCATCTACACTTTCTTTAGCTTGTTCTAAGACAGATTTGTAATATTTCAAATCCAATTCTTCACTTTTTTCCAGTTCTCTTCAAAATGCTTTACCAGTTATTATTATCAACGTTTTTTAGTTTTTTAAGATTAATTTGTAATTTATTCAGCAGAATGAGTTGTGGATACATGTAAGAAATCTGTTTCTTCTGTTTAAAAATGCTATTAGCATTATTTACATCTGAGCAATAGTTTGGCTCTCCTGTATCTAGGACTTTGATTGATCTCGTGATTTCGTTAACAGCTGCTCAACAAACGTCTACGTATTTAGCCGATTCTGGTAATGACACGATGATTATATTTTCACATAAAGTGATTGTATTTATCCCGTATTATTTCTCAATATCTGATTGGACTGATGGAATTTATCCGAAATTGAATGCAAGTTATCGTGGTTATTACCCGGTTTTGGAACTTATTATGATTTGTCGGCCTCAATTACAATGACTTTCAGATGGTTTTGTAACTTTTCTAATACAACAATCGAAAGGTATCACTATTTTCAGACATTTTCAGTGTTAATCTCTGATGAATTATCTCGAAAATTTATGTTTGCAATATAGTAGGAAACCTCCTCAAATCAGCTGGGTCTGAGTCCATATATTCCTGCACCCGTCTCTCTGTCTATTTTGGAGTCGTGAGTAAATCATATCAGGCTCCATCTTTCCAGCGTGTCAAACTTTTCCTCTCATTTGATTCTCTATTCGAGTCGCAAATGGCTTGTGAAAGTGAAACTTTGAAACAATCTTGTCGGATACCATCCCAAGAATTGGTTCCAACATAGATGTAGCAAGGCTTCTAGTGCAACTGTAGAGGTTGATGACATAGCCCCCGTTATACACAAACAGACCATTCTCTGGATTTGATTTAGTTTGTGGTCTGCTGTGTTTTATTACTTAATACTTATTACTTATGTGGTGTATACGTTGTCCACCAAAATAATTATCACGTCAGGTAGAACTCTAATTCTTTATTAAATAACTGATTGACACAAAAATTTAAATAATAAAGGTACTGGGTTACAACCACTTGATGTGCCGGTCAACTAGAGAATGTGTCCAGATTGCCTGCCTAAGGGTACGGTCAACTACCTAGAAGGGTTGTCATTCTTTAAGATTTATGGCACGACAAGTACTCCTGAGATAGGCAAATCTGCTTCAATACAATTTCTTATTCGTAAATATTTTCTATGTATACAGAGGCGTACCAGGGAACGTACCCCCCTGCTAGTGCTAACGTTACTCAGTAGAAACGAAAAGAAACAAGAGAAACTATATACATATTAGTTGAATCCGCCTTGCAGTCGATCTGGGAATCGGACATGTCTGCCTGCTCTTGTGGTCCTGAGGTTCCTGATGACATTATCTTTCTGGATATTGTGAGGACCACCCGGGTTGATTGTTTCCTCGGATGCGATGTAGGCTGGTTTCAGTCTATCAATTGAGACGGTAGTATCACGTCCGTTGATGTGGACGACAAACGTTTTCTCGTTCCTCTTTAGAACTTTATATGGTCCGTCGTATGGCTGTTGCAGGATACGCTTCGAGCTGTCTCGGCGTACAAAAACCTGATCCGTGGTGGCGAGGTTTTTGAAAACAAAAATTTTTTGATTATTGTGCCTTGACCCGTCACTGGGTCGTAAGTCTCTCATCAGTTGACGGAGCGACTTCACAAACTCTGCAGCGTCTTCAGCGGCTTGGTCTGGATGTTGTGGGGCTAGGAACTCTCCATGCAGGCATAGGTGCCGAAAAAAGACGAGTGGAGACCCTGTGGCGTGATAATTATTTTGGTGGACAACGTATACACCACACTTATTTATAAAGCTTTATATTAATAAATCTTTTGAAGCATTTTCAATGTATTTCCTACTATGGGTTCGATTCAACGGACAGAAAAAAATACATCCCAAAACGTCGATCACACTCCATGTAAGATTGGTGTAAAATTTGTGTGATCATTTTGTTCTAAAGTAGTGAATAGTATGCATGAATAATTTAGCAATATTCTTAATTTTGTATCGATTACCACATGTGTAGTTTTAGTTATAATTGTAGTATTGGGTAGCAAACATTTCATAAACTATATACAACTTAATTACTTGAGCTCATCGCAATACGACAGTTTCGTGCCATATACACATTTTTAATACACTATTTGTTAAGTGTAAAATATAACATGTATTTTGCTTATACACCACGTGATAAGGTTTCTGTAATCTGTCGTAAACCGTAAATTTAAAATTAAATTTTGTTTCGTTCATCACAAAGAACTATAAAAACTACATCTTTCGTATGTTCGTGTCAGCAGATAAGTAACGTGTTTTTGGATTCTGTGTGAAAGTGGTTGCTGTGATAATGAGGCAAGCCTTTAAAGTGATTTAAATCCTGAAATTTTATTTTTCGTTGTATACTTTCACCTTTGATTAAGGTCCCCAAACTTATCATTACTATTTTTTTTTAAATCAACCATCAGTACTGTCTAAAAATATTTGCCTTTTTCAATGATTCAGTAACATAATTAGAGTGCTATAATAGGGTGGGTAAAAAAAATCGACTATTTTTTTACTTTATACTCTGAAAAATAGGTTGCTAGACACCTCTAGAAAATTCTCTCCAAATTTGAGCTCTTAATTTTAATAGGAAGGTTCTCCGCTTTACAATTTTCCATTTTTTCCTTAGTATTAGAAAAAAAAATTCATTTCACTCTATCAACTGTTCGTTAAAAATATCTCTCCTCATATACTTGTAGGAAATAAAACGCTCTACAAAAAAGTCTCTTACAATTTTTTCGTAAACCTCACCGTTTAAAAGATATTAAAGGTTGAAGTTTTATTATTTTAAGACAAATTTCTGTTTTGCTTATGAATTTTATAACTCGTTAACAAAAAATCATGAAATGCGCAATTCATAGTTCTGTAGGAAATTAACTGCTCTACAGAAATGGTCTCTTATGATTAGTCGATTAAATAAAGCGTTTAAAAGATATTCATCGTCAAATTCATAAGCAAAACAGAAATTTGTCTTAAAATAATCAAACTTCAACCTTTAATATCTTTTAAACGGTGAGGTTTACGAAAAAATTGTGAGAGACCATTTTTGTAGAGCGTTCAATTTCCTACGAGTATATGAGGAGAGATATTTTTAACGAACAGTTGATAGAGAGATATGAATTTTTTTCCTAATACAGAGGAAAAAATAGAAACCTGTAAAGCGGAGGACCTTCCTATTAAAATTAAGAGCTCATATTTGGAGAGAATTTTCTAGAGGTGTCTAGCAGCCTATTTTTCAGAGTATAAAGTAAAAAAGAATAGTCGATTTTTTTGACCCACCCTAGTGCTATAAATTTGTTCTATTTTTGATTCACATGAAGACAAGAAACTTGCCTGTACGTGTATATTGATAAACTATAGATTTGAGAATACTATATCTACATTGTGTATATATTCTCAATATTCTCTCTAACCTGTAGTTTTTCTACCTCATCTTTCACATTTGTTCATCCCTAAAAATGACTGTTAATTAGAATTGGCTCCCATTTTTTCCATTTACTTACCATAAACAGTTTCAGCAATCCCATTTGATGGACCTTGGTCTTCACAATTATATTCGCCACTTCTTACGTGTTGCACTGCTGGTAAATATGAACTAACCTGAAATTGGGTTTTGTAATAACTTCCAAGTGTTTAAAATTGATACACACACCCAAAAACACGTACTCGGTATGACTCAGTATATTATGTTGTACTCGTAGATATGAACAGATGGCACGGTCGTCATATTTTCACTTGGTTAATTGTTGTATTAAATTGATGGCGACTTTGGTCGATTAGAACAATACTTAGATCACTATGACAAAAAATACTCTAAGGTCTCAAGTATAGTTACTAATTTAATTAACAAATTTAAAAAGCAGCATCCACTTATTGCTCAAACTCAGAAAATAATAGTATGGTTATTCAACATCAATATCAACCCATTTAAATTTCTGCACTGTTACTGTTACGTAATTTAAATTTTTGGTTGTAGATAGCTTCGTTCTGGAAAAGAAATTTTTAGAGAAAAATGTTTGAGGAAAATGATCCCGAAATTGTTCAGTCATCAATCCAGCTTGAACCGGTGGAGGATCAGTCGATTCCGACAAATGAGCGTAAGCCTGCCAAGACATTCCAGTGTGGAAAATGCACCTACTCGGCCAAATACAAATCTGCTTTGGTGAGCCACATGATGAGTCACAGAACCCCTTCGGAAACGACAATGTACAAGTGCGAAGTTTGCCAGCACGAGACCAAAAGAAAAGCCGACCTCAGGGCCCACATGATAATCCACATGGACCCGACAGATGTGAAGCTCTTCTACTGCGCGAACTGCTCGTACTGGACGAGAAGGAAGTGCGATCTGAAACAGCACGTCGTGGTTCACCAGACTTCTTCGTATAAGTGTCCGCATTGTCATTTCAAGACGACCAACAAGCTGTATCTCGACAAAATACACTCCATGCGTCACAAAAATGAATCCGAGGTCACAGTATATAAATGCAAATTTTGCCTGTACGAAACGAAACTTAAGAATGCGCTCAAGAAACATTCGCTCGTGCACCAAGACCAGTCAAAACGGCAGGAGTACAAATGTAACTGGTGCGAGTTTAATACTAAGAACAAGGCGGCGATAAAGAGGCATATGCTGTTGGTGCACACTTGCCCGTCAGAGATTCCGATGTATCGGTGCGACATTTGCGGATTCCAAACAAAAGAGAAAGTTGGTGTGAAGAATCATATACAGAATAAACACATGCCCTCTGAGATTAAGTATATGTGTGCACACTGTCCGTTCAAAACTAAGAGCAGACAGTACATAAAGAGGCATTTGGTGCTGCATCGGGATCCTTCGAGCGTTAAGACGTACCATTGTAAAAATTGCGAGTATAAGTCGGTCCGAAAGGCAAACGTTCAGTTACATATGTTGACTCATGTGAAGAAAGAAGATATCCGTATAAACTCAGTGAATGAAGGTCAGTGTAATCTCGATGAAACAATTTTTTTTGACACTTTAGCAAGAAAGTATCAATGATCGTGTATTTTAGTACCGGGTCTATTTATTAACCTGAAACTTTCAAATATCTCGAGAAGTAAGCACCTTACTAAAAAAAATCAATGATCAAAATTTAGTCAAACATTTGAATGTTTCGGGTTAAAAAATACACTCGTTATATGCTTATTTTACTATGAATAGTTAGTTATAGGATTTTAGCACCGTTAAACTTAATAGTTAGGTTAGGTTCGGTTTGGTTAGGGAAACTGTCAGCACCGTAGATGTCGGTATAGTTATTTGTTTTGAAACGGCTGCCAAGTTTTCTTAAGTTAAATTACCTATTTATAGATGGCGCAATACGAAAATTATTTGGCAGCCCTAATTAGTTCTTATACAATNTCTAGATTTTATTTACTTTGTGGTCTGCTGTGTTTTATTACTTAATACTTATTACTTATGTGGTGTATACGTTGTCCACCAAAATAATTATCACGCCAGGTAGAACTCTAATTCTTTATTAAATAACTGATTGACACACAAAAATTGAAATAATAAAGGTACTGGGTTACAACCACTTGATGTGCCGGTCAACTAGAGAATGTGTCCAGATTGCCTGCCTAAGGGTACGGTCAACTACCTAGAAGGGTTGTCATTCTTTAAGATTTATGGCACGACAAGTACTCCTGAGATAGGCAAATCTGCTTCAATACAATTTCTTATTCGTAAATATTTTCTATGTATACAGAGGCGTACCAGGGAACGTACCCCCCTGCTAGTGCTAACGTTACTCAGTAGAAACGAAAAGAAACGAGAAACTATATACATATTAGTTGAATCCGCCTTGCAGTCGATCTGGGAATCGGACATGTCTGCCTGCTCTTGTGGTCCTGAGGTTCCTGATGACATTATCTTTCTGGATATTGTGAGGACCACCCGGGTTGATTGTTTCCTCGGATGCGATGTAGGCTGGTTTCAGTCTATCAATTGAGACGGTAGTATCACGTCCGTTGATGTGGACGACAAACGTTTTCTCGTTCCTCTTTAGAACTTTATATGGTCCGTCGTATGGCTGTTGCAGGATACGCTTCGAGCTGTCTCGGCGTACAAAAACCTGATCCGTGGTGGCGAGGTTTTTGAAAACAAAAATTTTTTGATTATTGTGCCTTGACCCGTCACTGGGTCCTAAGTCTCTCATTACTTGACGGAGCGACTTCACAAACTCTGCAGCGTCTTCAGCGGCTTGGTCTGGATGTTGTGGGGCTAGGAACTCTCCATGCAGGCATAGGTGCCGAAAAAAGACGAGTGGAGACCCTGTGGCGTGATAATTATTTTGGTGGACAACGTATACACCACACTTATTTATAAAGCTTTATATTAATAAATCTTTTGAAGCATTTTCAATGTATTTCCTACTATGGGTTCGATTCAACGGACAGAAAAAAATACATCCCAAAACGTCGATCACACTCCATGTAAGATTGGTGTAAAATTTGTGTGATCATTTTGTTCTAAAGTAGTGAATAGTATGCATGAATAATTTAGCAATATTCTTAATTTTGTATCGATTACCACATGTGTAGTTTTAGTTATAATTGTAGTATTGGGTAGCAAACATTTCATAAACTATATACAACTTAATTACTTGAGCTCATCGCAATACGACAGTTTCGTGCCATATACACATTTTTAATACACTATTTGTTAAGTGTAAAATATAACATGTATTTTGCTTATACACCACGTGATAAGGTTTCTGTAATCTGTCGTAAACCGTAAATTTAAAATTAAATTTTGTTTCGTTCATCACAAAGAACTATAAAAACTACATCTTTCGTATGTTCGTGTCAGCAGATAAGTAACGTGTTTTTATATTCTGTGTGAAAGTGGTTGCTGTGATAATGAGGCAAGCCTTTAAAGTGATTTAAATCCTGAGATTTTATTTTTCGTTGTATACTTTCCTTTGATTAAGGTCCCCAAACTTATCATTACTAATTTTTTTTAAATCAACCATCAGTAATGTCTAAAAATATTTGCTTTTTTCAATGATTCAGTAACATAATTAGAGTGCTATAATAGGGTGGGTAAAAAAAATCGACTATTTTTTTACTTTATACTCTGAAAAATAGGATGCTAGACACCTCTAGAAAATTCTCTCCAAATTTGAGCTCTTAATTTTAATAGGAAGGTTCTCCGCTTTACAGTTTTCCATTTTTTCCTCAGTATTAGAAAAAAAAAATTCATTTCACTCTATCAACTGTTCGTTAAAAATATCTCTCCTCACATACTTGTAGGAAATAAAACGCTCTACAAAAAAGTCTCTTACAATTTTTTGTTCGCACGGGCCATAGAAGTTTAGGTTGCCTCGGCTGGTCGTGGGTTACGAGCTAGATGACACCGAATGGGCTTAGTATCAGGTTGTCGTAGGAAAGAAATAAATTAAGTTCACAGAGACCAAAAAATAAGTTTATTTATATGGCGCCACTAGGGTTCTACAGGATGGACAGCTCTGCTTCATTCACTCCCCCTTAGTAGAGTGATCCGACCATTTTTACACGTGTGAAAAATATAAAAAAACTTACAGTGGGTTACATAAGGTATTAGGTTCTAGATATATGTGGCCAATATATCTTACAGCTCCCAGTCCAAAACCAAATCTGCTTCGGATGCTGGATTCAGGTAGCTAGCGAGATAACTTGCTACTAACAATATAGTTGCTTAATTGCTGGATAACTCCATTACTGGATTACTACTGGATATTTGCTTGATANTTACCTATTTATAGATGGCGCAATATGAAAATTATTTGGCAGCCCTAATTAATTTCTTATACAATATGAATATCGGTTGACTACTGTATCAAACTAATTTTGCAATTACAGTATAGTCTTGCTAATCTGACTCCTCCTCTGTACACCGAATATTGTAGTCTGAACGATTTCGTTCTATTTCGATGTCGATGGTAATCATGTTTCTATAAACATTCCCAGTTGATGTTTTGTGATTCACAGTTAGGATTAAATAACCTGCAGTATCACTCATATTTTTATAATGGCTATTGATCGGCGCCGTCATAAAATTGTCAATAGGTGAAAAAATCGTTATTTTAGATTGAATTGAAAAAAAGTCATCGGTAATGTTTCTTGCTAAATTGTAAGACGTTTGGTACATCAATGTCGACAATATGTGATATTAAACACAACAAAGATAAAAATTGAGAACTACAGAATAAGGGCCTGGGAGCAAAAAAATTTTTACCTCAGCTAGAAAATCCAAAAGTCTCCTACAAGGACTAAAAAGTGCTCTTGTTTATGGTGCAATGTTGGATAAAAAAGCAATTCTTTTTAATAAAATTACCGAAAATAAACAAATTTCATGTTATGGTTAGACTGTTTTAAGAAAGATACACAGAATTAGACACTCAAAAATTATGTGCGGAAAGTTGTCAAACAATCTGTCCCGAACCATTAAAGTTACTTTTTTGCCAAAAAAAAAAATCGCAAATGTCATAAAAGTTCAGTGAAATTTTAACAGATCGAGACATTATTAAAGTCGCCCTGCGATATACTGAAGACGAAGATGACAATAATGTGAGCCAGAGTGAAATTAAAGTGGCTCATACAGAAGCTGTAAAATGTTTCAATATACGAGTTACCTTTTTTTTCAAGGTCCGATCGGTCGCGAAATTAAAATTGCAGTGAAAATCAAAAATGTTTTATTTGCAACATTTAACTACACTTTCCAACTATTTCTCTAGATAGTCGCGGCTCCGACTTAGATATTTGTCCTAGCTTGGAACTCATCTTCCAATATCTCCGTCATAGAAGGCAGGCGCCTGTACTTTCAGCCAATTCTCTACACTGGTCTGCAGCTCGTTGTCCGAGCCAAAATAATGTCCTCTTAGCCAGCGTTTCATATGAGCAAATAGATGAGAATCAAAGGGAGCCAAGTCCAGGCTTCGTAAAGGGTGAGCAAACACTTCCCATCGAAAACGCTACAGCATGCGGCCGAGCATTGTCATGAACAATGCTTGATTACAATATTCTTCTTCCCTTGTTCTGAATTGCCCTTCATAGTCGTTGAAGAAGCTTCAGTGATGGCCGTGCCACATTTCATGAGTTCCACCAAGAGAACTCCTTTTCGGTCCCAGAACACAGTAGCCTTACACTTTTTGATGGGAGAGCATTCGCTTGCATTTCTTTGGTTTACTCGGGGAATGTTTGTTTCTGTGTCTCGTCTCCTGTGACAATTTTGTTCAAAAAATCTGTTTTATCATGGTAGCGCTGGAGAAGCGTTAAGGCGGCGCTCATTTGCTGTATTTTGCGATGGTCGGACAACGATTTTCTCGAATCGCCTGATCCACTCGCTGAACAAAATTATCGGGTGACATTCGCTTTCTTCACTGACCGTCTGCATCATGAACGTCTGTTCCTGCACCATTGCCGTACTTTTGCTGTCACTCATGAAAGTTTCATCGTATACATTACTCAATCGTCGATGAATTTCGGCTGCATTGCACACCTCAGCATGAAGAAATCGAATTAAAGCACACACTTCACACTTGTAGGCACGCTCAGAACTGACAAGTGCGACGTGACGTCATCAACGAGCATATTAGAGACATTGCGCGACCAATCGGACCTTGAAAAAAAATAGCGAAATATTTGTTAATCTGAATATTCAGATATACCTATAAGTATTGTTGGACTTCTCTCAGTTATTGATCAACAAACGACACTAATAACTCTTATTTAACAGTATTTAAACAGAGTAATGGATTAACGTAACATCACATCTACACTCTTTCACATTTGTCTTTAGTCTCCCTGCCTTTCCGTCCGAATTTCCGCGCCTTGGCCTTCATTTCTTATCGTTGTTTTATAAACAACGGCCCCAGTCGAAATAATCCCCTAGCAGTATAAAATCCCAAACAACGCATATTTAAAATAATAAATTTAACGAGACTATTGTATAAGTTAAAATATATTTAATAGTTTTTAATTTAACTGCAGAACTTACTAAATTCTATTCGAGTTCCTCAT